TCAGCCCCGAGTAGGCTATGGATTACACAGGGCCAGCCACCCATGCCCGCCAGGTAATGTTTTTGTATTTTAGTAGAGAACAACGGATTCATCCATTTTGGCCAGGCTTGGTCTCCGACTCGACCCTCAGGTACCTACACTGCCTTCACTCCCAAAATTCTAGGATTTTAACAGACAGCGTGAGCACCAGCGGCCTGCCAAGAGACCGCAATTCTCTTAACAAACAACCACGCGCCGGCCAAGACCCACTCTCTCTTTTTTTTTTTTTTTGACATTGGAGCTTAACTCTGTCAACCCAGGCTGGAAGTGCAGTGCACGACTGAGCTCACCTGCAACCTCCATCTCCCGGATCAAGCAATTCTCCGCCTCGGCCTCTGGAGTAAGCTGGGACTACAGGCGCCCACCACACACATCCAGCTAATTTTTGTATTTTTAGTAGAGACAGGTTTCACCATGTTACGCAGGAATGGTCTCGATCTCCTGACCTTGTGATCTGCCCGCCTCAGCCTCCCCAAAGTGCTAGGATTACAGGCATGAGCCACTGCGCCCAGCCAACCCCATCTCTTAACAACAAAAGAACTAGGACTAAAATCTGGGAAATGCTAAATGCTCGGATTGTTCAGGGGTTTGAGGAAAGAACCACTAAAAATGCCTCAGGACATGGTGAAGCAGAAGGAAAGCAGGTGCAGAGTGTTTCAAGGACGAAGGAGTGGTCAGCTGTGCCAGCTGCTACAGATGGGCCAAGTCAGAAAAGAATTAAGAACAGACCCTGGAATGCAGCAACATGGAGGTCACCCGTGACCTTGACGAGGCCTTTGATTCAGTGTGAGAGGAGGGGCTGACTGGTGTGAGACCAAGAGCGTGAGAAGGGAATGTTTGTTTGCATGCTGAAGAGAGTGTAAGAGAAAAGTGGATGATGCAGGAGAGAGGAGGAAAACTGCTAGAGCAGTGTCTCTGAGTACCCAGGAAGGGATGGGGCCCCAGCACAAGCCCCTGCTTGGGGCACCTCCAGCTCTTCCACAGCAGCAGGCGGACGACACTCTCCAGGCCAGATGCTGAAGACATAGTAGGGAGATGTGATGACGGGAGCTTAAGTGGATGTTCTGCAGTGTTTCTGTGTTTTCAGAAGCTACCTGTTCAGGGGCTGGAAGTGATGAGTGGGAACCTCATCTCCTATCAGGCTTGGAGAAAGGGGCTCCCCACAAAAAGGTGACGCCAAAAAATTGCTTCTAGATATGTGTTGTTCAATATAGTAGCCACTAGCTACATGTGACTATAAAGCAATTGAAAGGTGGTTAATTCAAATTGAGGTGTGTTGTATGTAAAACATTTTTTAAAGGAATGTAAAATATTTCGTTAATAATATTTTTAAAAGGTCAGGTGCGGTGCCTCACACCTGTAATCCCAGCACTTTGGGAAGCCGAGGTGAGTGGATAGCTTGAGGTCACGAGTTCAAGGCCAGCCCGACCAACAGGGTGAAACCCCATCTAAACACACACAAGAAAATTAGCCCGGCATGGTGGCCTGTGCCTGTAATCCCAGCTACTTGGAAGGCTGAAGCAGGAGAATCGCTTGAACCCAGGAGGCAGAGGTTGCAGTGAGCCAAGATTGTGCCATTGCACTCCAGCCTGGGCAACAAGAGCGAAACTCTCTCAAAAAATTAATAATAATAATAATTAAAATGATTACATGTTAAATTGATATTATTTTGGATACACTGGGTACAATTTATTTAAAATGTCATCTCTTTACTTTTCAATGTGGCTACTAGAAAAGCTAAAACTACCTATGTTTCTCGCACTACATTTTAACCGGACATCATTGCTCTCTAGACACGCCCCAGAGCTCTCCCACTTCTTGAGAGGGAAATTTCTCACCCTGCAGATGGGGTGGGGGTTGGGGGCAGTGGGTATGGTCAGAGGGGATTCCAAATGCGGAGCAATACTGCCCCCTTGTGTCCAGCGAGGGAAGCACAGCTGAAGACGGAAGGGAGAGGGGTGCTTCCAAGGTTTGTCCCTTGCTAGATATTAATGGCATACTGATCTCCTTGTTCAAACATCCTTTCAAGCTGTGCCCTATTCGAGGAACTCAGGCATCCTGTCCACCAACAAAATGCATTTACTGAAGCCCGACATAGTAGGCAAGGAGACATTGAGGCTGACTTACAGAAGAGGCAAAGTGGTGCATACCTGGGAAAGGGTGCAGGAAAGGGTATGACAATAGGAAGAATTCAGATAATGCTCCAATTGCCGTTTTAAATACTCCAGGACCCTCCCATCCCCAGAGGGATTTGGAAGGCCGAAGGAAACGATGCCAACAGGCCCCTTTCTCTCCCTCGCCAGGAGCTAGCTTCGTCCCCTTGAAGAGGCTGAACTGGGCTCATATCTGTTCCTTACCCTCTTGCCCCTCATTACCTGTAAAAATCCAGTGAGGTCATCGGTGGAGAACACGTCCATCACCTCCATAGCCCCCGCGCTGGCCTTGCTGACTACTGGAGTGAGCGGGCAGCTGCAAGGTTTCCCCATTCCCCGCATTAGGCTAGGACATCTCAAGCCCGGCTCCCTACCCTCCCCGGGCTCCCAAGGGCTAGAGGCGTGAGAGTTCTGGGACAGGCGAGTCTGGCTAAGGGATCACCCAAGGGCCAAGGTGCTTAGGAACTTGGCTGCATCTCCAAGTTGGGGCACATGGAGAATGAGGGACGTCCGTGCCTGTTTCTCCGGCTGGTGATGACCTTATCCACTCCGAGGAAGTGTGCGGAACGCAGCACAGCCCCAAAATTCCGGGGATCCTGGATCCCTTCGAGGACGAGCCACAACTGCTGGGGGTCGTCGCCTGGGCTCGCCTCCCCGGCCTCACTCCAAGGCTGGGGCCGCAGCGGGCTCACCTCCATGCAGACACCCTGGTGGACCTGGTAGCGGCACATTGTGTCCAGTTTCTGCCGTCTGGGCCGTAGAACTGGAATGTCCCGCGCCTCGGCCATCCGGAGCAGCTCGGCCCGCTCCCCCTGCAGCCCAGCTTTACCCGCCTGGAGCAGGAGCCGGGCCACGGAGCGGCGGGCGGCCCGCAGAGCCAGGAGACACGGGGACAGGCCAAACAGAAGCTCCAGCCGCGAGGTCGGCACCAGGTCATCCAGCAGCAAGCGGCTTAGCTCCTCCCCACCAGGCCGCTCCCCACGCCGCGCTGCATGGGAGAAATGACGGGTGACGAGGCGACCCCAGGTCGCGCCCCGGATGGTCGAGAGCAGTGCCATGGCGCAGCTCCCGCCAGGGACTCGATGCCCCCTGCTGCGTCCCCGGGAACGGTAACCCACGCCGCAGTTCGCTCCCAGGCTCCCAACACAGGGGTGAAGGGTACTCGACAACTGCCTCCGCCGAGCTCTCTCGGACAGGAAGAAACAGGCCGCATTCCCCACAACTGGACTAGAGAGCTACGACCGTTCCCTCCCAAGCTCCCACGTGGGTTCCCTCGCTTCCGGGTTCGGGAGCCCACCCCCAGTCCCTGGCGCCTCTGCCTGACGGCGTTTTGCGCATGCGCGGTCGCCAGGCTGTCCCCACAGCACCTCCTACAGGGCTAGAGGAGCAGCGAGCTGAGCTGGCCGTACTACCGGCTGCGTCCTGTGTTCCTCGAGGTCAAGGAGGTCGGGGACTGCATTCACTCATGCACCAGCGAAGGGCACTTTAAGGAGATGGGTTGGCCTTCCTGGTCAACCAATTCAGTCTTGTTGCCTCCCTCCCCACATCCCGGCGCTGGTGATTTTCCCCAGAACTACTACTACTCACTAGCTCATCACCAGCCAGCAGGAGAACCCCAACAGTCACTTCCTATCCCGGGCCGCTGATTCTCTTCCTAAAGTGACTCTGAGCCTGTCCTGTCCCTGCTGATAAGCCCACTAACGCCCCCGTCCCACAGGGAATGGCGAGACTTTTGCGCAGCACTCAGCCCCCCAGCGATCCAGGAAGGCAGGAAGGAGCTGCCTCTTCAGCCCCATCTTGCTCCTGCACTTAAGTTCTGTGCTGTTCGCACAGCACTGCATGCTCTTCCAGGCCTCTCAGCCTTGCACACCTGTCTTCTTCGCTTTGTCAAACTCCTACACGTTTTCAAGGCCCAAACAAACCCATTCCTGCTACCTAAGGTAATCCATACTCCCATGAGTGAGGCCCCCAATCCACCCACCAGGTAGGTCCCAGGTGGGACCGACCTGGAAGAAATTCTGAGACACAAGCACCCCTGATCACAGAGAAGGGGAAAGAATGGAAAGACACACTCCTGAAGCCAAGGCAGATTGGTTGCAATTTTTCTTTTTTAATGATCACCATGAAATCCTCTGGACCAGGCCCTGGTATTCTGCTGCCATAGTCAGAGTGGAGGGATGACCCCACGAGGGGACGAGAAGCCAAGATGGGGCTGGAGAGCCCAGAAGGAGAAAGAGAAGGGGAAGAGGGAGCAGTGGGGCAGGCAGAGGAGGAAGTCTGGAGCCCTGGATAACCACGCAGATATAAGGTGAAGGCCTCCCTCTGCCACCCCAGCCCTGAGCCGCAGAGGTTGAGGTGCAAGAAGATGGGGGGAATTTTGGCCACAACTCCTTTCCCATATCAAAGGGAAGAGACTGAGAGCAGACAAAGGCCACGGAGCCCAGGGGGACCAAGAACAAGTTAACAAGTAAATCAATTAGGGACACCACCTCCTTTCCCCAGCCCATTTTTCACATTTACAGCCGAAGCAATTTGACAAGATGATATAAAAATCTCAAACAAATTGTCTAGCCCCTGGTCAGGGTGTGGACAGGAAGTGGTATCCAGTGATCCAGAAATCAACACCTAAAATCCAGAGGCAGGAGGCAAGCCATGAAGGGTGGGGAGGGAAGGAGGAGCTCCCACAGTCACTAGGTCACCTGCTCCGTGGGCCTCATCTGGATGTCTCCAATCTGTGGAAGGCACAAGGCATGAGGCAGCTGCGACACTCTCCCCTAGCCCTGCAGGGCTCCCTGCTCCCCTCCTCTGGGGCTGGTTGGGTTCCTCCAGCAAGTGGACAGTCAGGGCCAGACTCACCTGGATGTGTGGGGGGGTGCTGAGGACGTAGATAACAGCCTCGGCCACATCCTCGGGTTTGAGACACTGAGAGCACCAGGGGAACGGGTTGAGACAAGGACAGAATGGACTCAAATTCCCTCCCACCACTGAGCTCCTCTGCAGCATCCACATGTCCACCCCAACCCTCCAGGAGGAGCCACAAAAGCTGGAAGGGTGGAGTCTCAAGGCCAAGGTTCCCTCTGCCTTCATTTAGGGGGTCAGTGGCTTCACCAGGCCCAGAGGGAGGCCCCACCTTCATTTGCTCATAGGTGGCAGCTGCCTTCTCAGGGTCCTTGTCGTGGAGTTTGAAGGCGAACTGTGTCTCCACCACACCTGGAGAGATGCACTGGGCCAACAGAGAGGGCCTGCTTAGGGGCTGAGCTTTGCCAGGCCTTGAGGAGGTTGAGGGGAGAGGATGGAGGCCACAGAACCCCAGCTTCACAGTGACGGCTGCCCAACATCCAGCAGCCGCTTCCACCCTCCGAAGCTGCCGCTGGCGGTGACCACAGTGATACCTACCATCTACAGAGCCTTTCCTATATGTCAGGTAAACGTTTTACAAAAAAGTGTCCCTAAAAAGCTCATCATCTCCTTTTCACAAGTGAGAAGGCCGAGGCTTGGGGAGGTTCAGTGACTCGCTCACGATCACGCGGCCTTCAAGAGAAGAGCCCGGAGTCCCGGTTTCCAGCCACTGTGCACCTGGTTTCCCACAGTCCCTTGCTTTCCCTCAGGTCAGCCCCCTCCCAGCTCAAAGTCTAAGACTGGTCCTTGGCTCCTGGATCAGTGAAATGAGGAAATGAAGGGCTGCACAGGGCCATGCCGGGAGCAGCAGCACCCAGTTCTGTGCCAGTCCACTCCCGGGAGCTCTAAGCGGCACATTCTGAACATGGGCTTCCTGAATGGTGTGTGTGGGTGGGGAGGGCCTGCGCCACCCTGTCCCCACCAGGGCTAGGCCACAGCCTCACCGTGGCTCGGATGTGGGTCTGGGCCTCCCGAAGCTCTTGCCTCAGTCCCTCTGTCAGCGCAGTGACGGCGTACTTGGTGGCACTATAGAAGTGGGTCACAGACAGGGGTAACACTCGGTGGCCAGACATGCTGGGTGGGGAGAGGAAGGGGAAAGAGGAGAGAATGAAGCTCTAGGGAGACCAGCAGTGCCCCTGCCATACCCGGTCAGCCCCACCACCCAGATGTGCATCGGAAAGCCTTCTAAAGGGGACCTCTAGTGGCCATCTCACAGCTCATTAATCTAATTTTGGTTATTCAAACAGCTTCGGAAAACCTTCCTTTTCCTGGAAGTTATCCCTAAGCTGACCACAGAATGCACTCGCCTGGTGGTGCAGAATGTCAAAACTCTTTCCATCTAATCTGTATGTTCACTGATATGATTCTATTGGGACATCTCAGGGCAGGAAGAGGTCATGTTCCCCCTCAGACTGGGGCTCCCCAGTGGCAGATACTGTATATAGTCTTTCTTTGTGCCATGAGGTGGGGTTCATCCCCAGGCCTGAGGAATAGAGGCACTCAGTCCCAGGAGAGGCCTCAGGCTTCAGCTGTAGAGGGAAGGAACTGAGCTGCCCATTCCAGCCAACCAGGGGATGGTACTTGACAACATTATTCTTTTCCTCACCATAATTGTGCCATTCGGGTATTAAATCTGTACTTTCCCACCAAGGAAACTGAGGTCCAAAGAGGTCAGGTGAGCTGCAGCACATTACCCAGCCTGGTGGGTGAGTGGTACCCCTTGGCCACCTGCCCTCACCTATTGATGTTAATGATGTGCCCATCGTCCACATTCCGCTCCTTCATGGACTGGTAGGCTTCCCGTGTGCAGATGCTGAGGGCCAGCACGTTCACCTGCAGGCCAGGGAGGGCAATGAGGTGTCTCCACTCCAGCCCAACTGAGCAAGTGATGGAGTCACAGAATGCGAGGGGGGAAGGGGACAATGTGGCATTCCAAAACAGTGTCCAGGTCCTCCCAGAGACCAGCCACAGGCACAGGGCACCTTGTCTTCTACACAAGATGCCCCTCTCCTTAAAGCTGCAACCCCCAGTTGATAGCAGAGGTAGCTCCTCACCTGGCTGACCCCCCAAGTTCCTGCAAACAAGAATGGAAACCCTTCAAACCCACTCCTGAACCAGGAGACTCTGTCTTGGCCATCTCCTCTATGAACAGTAGCACAGACCCTCTAATTCCATAGGGAATCGTTTCCATTTCTTCCCCCAAATACGCTACTCTTCTCTTCGCTATGGGAGTCTGGCCCTGCTCCCTCCTAAACTGCTCAAAATCCTTACCAAAATGGCTTACAAATCTCTCTCCTCTGGCACAGAGCCTAGCCTTTCCCTGCCTTCCTCAGCTACTCTCTGCTCCTTCCCCATCCCCTCCCTTGAGATGAGTGGAGAAGAGAAGGCCTGACCCTCCTTTCTATGCCTTCCTTTAACCTGGGTTCCATCTACAAGACTAGGCACGGAGACTCTAGAGGGTCAGGTAACTTCCCACTCCTACTCCCTCTGGCAGAGGCGACCCCCACATCCCCACCCTTCAGGGAACAGAGGTCTGAAGGTGTGTCTGCTGCAAAGTACCTACGCTGCCCCACCCATTGGCCCCACTCATTAGCCTCACTCAGAGGACAAGCAGAGATAAAGCTTTTAGCAGGTCCTCAGGCCTCTCCTCTTAGGAAGAGAGGGAACCAGCAGGAGATCAGATGTTTCTCTTAATCAGGTGTCAGAGCCTGCCATGAGGAACGGAACACCTTTGGTGTGAACCTGCCTTGGTGTTCACGGCAGTAGGAAGAGATGGGTACCAGGACAGGGAGGTTTCCAGCCCTGTTTCTCATCTTCTTGGCAATGTGGGCTTGTGAGGCAGAGAATTCAGCTCCTGGCAGGCAGAGTAGGAGAAATAGATCCCCTGGGACCAGGTGAGTAAATCTCCCAGGTCTAGGGGATCAGGGGCAGAGAAAGAGAAGATGCCTTATAGGATGATCCTAATAGATTTAGATAATGTTCAAGCTGAAAGGAGCTGTAGGAATTTAATGTAAGTCCCTCATTTTACAGATGGGCGAGTTAAGGTCCAGGTCTTTAGAGACCCATGTGCTGTGAGTGAGGATCATGGCTCTGATCTCCAAGAAGGCTGAGGGCTTCATTTTCATGGTTTCATTTCCAGGCCCAAGCATCTATGAGGTGCTAAGATAAGGTGCTAAGTCTACTGTCAGCAGATGGGAAAGGATTGTGGAGAGAGAAGAACATCCCATTCACACACTGCTTTCAACTTATCAGGATACTTTCGTACCCTACTATCACCCCATCATACCATCCACAAGTTGAAAACCCATGTCCTGAAAGTTGGGTTTGGCCTGTGCATGGTTTCAAAACACTTTAAATACCCTTCCAACATGTACTAGAAAGTTTCATTTATTCAATAACTATCTTTTGAGTGCTTATGGGATCAAGCTATACCAGAGAACAAAATAGATAAAAATCCTTGCCCTCATGGAGCTGACATTTTAGTGAAGGGGAGTGGGGGGTATCACATAATATCAGACTCCCCACTTCTCTCAAAGAAATCATAAGATCAGCCAGGCGCGGTGGCTCACGCCTGTAATCCCAGCACTTTGAGAGACCGAGGTGGGTGGATGATGAGATCAGGCAATAGAGACCATCCTGGCCAACATGGTGAAATCCCATCTCTACTAAATACAAAAAAATTAGCTGGGCGTGGTGGTGCTTGCCTTCCCCTAGTCCCAGCTATCAAGGAGGCTGAGGCAAAAGAAGAATAGCTTGAACCCAGAAGGTGGAGGTTGCAGGTAGCCAAGATCACGCCACTCTGCACTCCAGCCTGGTGACAGAGCAAGACTCCGTCTCAAAAAAAAAAAAAAAAAAAAAACAAGCAAACAGGCCACACAGCCCCCACCACCCATAGATGGAACTATGTTGATTTGAAGCAGTGGCTGTGTGCTTCCCACAACTTGCGGGACCCCCTCCTAAACCTCCCTTACTGCCTTTATGTACTACTGGCCCCAGGGGACATTGGAGTTTGTGACCCCGATATTGATGACAGAGTATGGTTCATCCCAATTAAGTGTGACAAGACTGAAGCTCAAAAAGGTAACCAATCTGCCTAAAGTCAAC